AAGAAGCCTAGGTCTCTCTCACATGGCATCATATAGATTAGTGTAAATGATTATGCTAATCATACCTCCCATTGTGCGCAGTATAGCAGAACAGGAAAATATGTAAGTTAAGCACTTATAACTATATCTAGAGTTGAGCAACCTCCTTAAACATTTTCCTAAATCTGAGTCTAAAATACTGACTGAAGTGTATTTCTAAATATTATTTCAATGTAAAAACAACATAAATGCAGTTTTTTGTATTTGTATATAGAAGTATACACACACATATATATTTAAATTAGAAAATACAGGGCATGATTCTTATTATCTATTTAATTCATAAAACTTGCTCCTTCTGTTCCAATTTAAATACAGCATGTAGAAAGCACAACACTTTCTCAGATCTAAAGTAAAAAATATTAAGTAAAAAATAAATCTACATACACAAATGCAGTTTACTGGTTCTAGAATATTGTTTATGTTGTCATAAATTTCTATAATCCAATGCCAACTCTCACTTTGCCCCCCAAAACAGAAAAATTAAAATAAAAGCAAAAAAAGTGTTTCTCCAAAATAACACTGGAAGTTATGCACCAAAATTCTCATATCCAAAACAGAGTTCCCCAGCATGAATTAGTTTATGCAGTAGTTTCTCTAGTTATTCAAACCCATGTTTATCTAGATGCCCCAGAAATAGCCTCAATCAATGGAACTGAAATCTTGCTTTTGAGAAGTTTACATTTATCTGATTAGAAAGTTTGGATTTCTTTTACATTACAGGCAGTAGTTCTGAGGCTTTATATTAATTTCCCCAGTGGTTGGGTATTTGGTTAAAATAATTTCTCCTTAAAATATAAGCATAAAACCACCATTTTCTTCTTCTAATTAAAATGTGAGCAATTTACTTTTTCCTAATTTATTCTCTCCGAAAAAAAGCTTACATCTGATAAAACATTAATTTATTTCATTGGGTTTTTTCCCCCCCACACACTTTTTAATCAAAAAGTGACTTGCCCTGTAACAAGTCAGCAGATTGAGCAAAATAAATCCTTAGGGAAGGTTTTTCAAGGTAGTCTGGGGCAAGAAATTCTCAAGAGAAAACATGTACTTGTAGATTTATATGTGCAAATTCTATGTTTATAAACTTACACTTAATGCAAGGGTCTTCAGTGTTCTAAAAAGATTTGAGTCAAGCTCTTTAATCAGTATAATGAAATGTTTATCTATACTACGACTGTCTAAGAATGACATCAACAGGTTACAACAGTGCATGTATTAAGAAATTAATTTATATATCACCTATTCTATATTCAGTTATTGTTTACTTGACATTCTGTAGTAACAATCAGACTGTGGACCTTTTTCACATTTATTTTCAACAAACAAAGGTTAATAATTTTGCATTTGCTACACTTAGTGTGTTGTAAGAGTAAAAACTGAAGCAATTTCTGTGGACTAACAAATGTGTTTCAAGTTAATTTCCTGTGGAAATTTTGCTCTGCCATGTAGTCACATTCATTATTTTGAAATTAAGTATTTTGCTCCCACCTCCAGCACATATTCAAGTGTGAGATGGCCTAGTTCACTGAAATATGGCCATTATGTGCTAGTTCTTGTAATAAAGAGGAAGTCAAGATTATGTTGAAAGCAAAAGATTTTTTCCATTGGTCTCAACAAAGGCAAATGTTTCAATTGCTTCTTTTCCCACCTCCAGCCTTCTGAAATAATTATTCTAATTGGGATTCATTGGGAAGGGAAAATGAAAACATTTTTGCATAAGAATTAGAATTTAAAGGCTTTGGATAATATTAATTTGCAGAAGATAAATAGAGGATGCATATTAGTGAGGAAAATGTCCCAAACACTTCAGAATGAAGACAGTTAACAGCTGAAAGGCTACTTGGACCATGGTTAAGAATATATTTGACAACAGGTTAAACAAACAGATGTCAAAGCTGGTATAACTGAAACTTAATCTGCATCAGAAAACAGAAATATGTTTATTTCTGTCCCTATGCATCTAGAATTGTCATTATCAACCTAATAAAAGTCAACTTGCATTTGATATCAATTTAGAAGATTTAAGTAATTTAGGAGATTCTGGGAAGGAGAGGAGGAAGCTCTTTATATTCCTCTGAACCATGATGATCCAGTAAAGCACTAAATCTTTTCCTTCACTTTAAACACAATGAAAGTCTAATTGATTCCCATGTTAGACACACACTAAAGTGCTTTGCTGTATTGACACTCAGTTGCATAAGAGGCAATTAAATATTTAGATAAGGGTTCTCAAGGATATAGTTATTGAGAAATTGTATTTACCTTTCACAAAATTAGCATACCTAAATATGTACATGTGTAACTACTGCAACATTTGTTCACAATACAATGCAATGCCATGTAGAAACATCTGGGTTCATTCTTTTACAGGAGCTCAGCTAAGGGTAATTTGTTTTGTTGGCAGGCAAACAGGAAACCTGGGGAGGAACACTGCAGTATCACATGTAATATCCAGACATTTTCTGTGACGCTTCTAGTACCTAAACTGTGGTGCAGAATTTAGAAATGTTCCTACCCTTTAGCAAATGTTTGGCAATGAAACAGGTCTACTAAAGTTTTACTTATCATTTGAACAGCTAATTCAGAAAAGTGTAAAGAAATGAGAGAGGTTTAAGAAAGCATGTATTTTCTTTAGGTATATTAAGAGATAAGCGATGCAGATTTTATTAGTGATAGCTGACGTAGATGTGAAAAGCTATGTAAAGCCACCTCAAAACATGCAGTATACCAACATCTCTGATTAGTAAAGTTATATGACGAGGTTAAAGACAATTACTAATGAACAATTTATGACATGAACTCTTACCACTGAACAATCACATGCTGAACTTGTTAAAAATCTGATCCTGGGACAAAACTGGGTTATTTTATTATTCTTATTTAGAGATTACAGATTTTCCAAGGAGGCTTGAGGAAGATATGATATTCTTCAAAGGAGGAAACAGTTGTCTAAAGCTTCATATTCAATGAGTTTTTTCAAGAATATACTACTGCTGTTGTAGTATTAGCATGTAGTACATGCATGGAATTCTTTTAAACTCATGTTTCATGCTTCTTCTAGGAGCAAAGTAATCTTAAAGGTTTTTTCTCAAAATTTCAAAATTTTTTACTAAACACGACTTCTCAAGTTTTCCTTTTTTTGGAATGCAGAGTGAACAAGGATGTCACTATAAGTAGAAAAACATAAGGATATATTTTCCAAATATTTCTGATTTCTCTTACAAGAATAAAGATTTATTAACCACCATATGTGAGGGAAGATGTTTGCAGTGTTCAGGGGAATACGTAGAAATATTGTTGAATTTAATGGGTAAAGTGACATGCATGTAGGTACAAAGCTTTATTTCCGGCTATATATTTACCACACCTACCACAAACCAAAGATATCCAAAGAAGGACAAGTCTATACCTACTTTAAAATGAAATTTATCAAGTAGCCTACTTTGGTCTCTTTTTTTTTTTTTTTTTTCTTTTTTTCAGGGTGTAAGGACTTAATTATTATGCTACTTTAGATTTGAAGGCTACAAAAAGGAAACAAGTTTGACTTATCCATCATGATTATTACCACATTTCAATAAAAATACACTTAAAATCTAGGCTGCACTTTAGGCCAATAAAATTTTAACAGACTTCTTAAATAATCAGCTTTTGAATTAAACAGCCATAAAAAAGCTCTTTGGCTTATTTTTGGCTGTGTCAACCTAATTTCACTTAAGCAGCACAAATCAAGGTATCATTAGCTGTCCAAAGCATAATTATTCACACTAAAATAAATCTTGCTGCTGAGTACAGCAGCCTTTGACATCAATAATGATAACCGAAGAGGCAAATTCCATTGAGACAGTTCTGCTGTTATTTCAGTGTGCTTTAGGTATCAGGGAAAAAAACCAAAGTGTACAGCTCATGGGTTATTATGTATTTCAAGGTCACTCATTCAAATCCAAATAATGAGAAAAAGTTATTATTTCTGAAAGGTGATAGATCATATGGAACAAATCTTAACATACTGACTAGGACCAAGTGTTCCTGTGAGAACATGCATCATGGCAGCTAGCAATTTGATTAGCAGTAAAGGAAAAACAACAAAACAATAAATTGAATTGGAGAATACACTACAGTTTTTATGTATGCTATACATGGAAGCTACCTCATAAGTGCACAGAATTTGGTGAAATCAGCTATAAATCTGCTAACAATAAAGTTATTGAAACTACTGATATGAATTTTAAGTTGGAGTCAAAGCATCAATCATCTCTACTAACTTCAGTGGAGCTGTAAGAGTGTTTATCAGGAAAGGGATTTGCCTCATGATACCTGACAGTTTAATATAGACAACCATCCAGTGGAGAAAAAGAAACCATTAAAAATAATAACTTTAGGTCTTATATTTAATAGAGAGAGAATCAATCTCTGATTCACAGAGATGCACTTAATGGGGTGGGGGGAAACAAAAACAACCACAAACATACCAGAAATAAAGAGTAGAGAGGTGTTAAAGGAAAGGACTGGGAAAAAAGAAAGACAGCCAAAGAAAATAAAGAGCTTGAAAAGTGTACAGGGAATATTCAATCCAAAAGAGAGTGAAAGTTTGAATTTGATCAAGGAAAATACAAGAAATTTTGAGTCCACCATTATAAGCTACTTATTCATTGAGAAGACATGTCTGAATTTATCAAGCAGGAAACACTAAACTAGCAATCATAAATTCATATTTAAAGACAACCATAACTGAGAAAACACTACAAATAAATTTAAAAAAATAACTTGCCTGAAAACCGAGGAGTTTTTCACTAGGCTTAATATGTCTCTGAAATTCACATTCCACTGGTTGTATTATTTTGATGCCATCTTCATAAAAAACATAAAACATGTTCCCAATTCCCAGACCTTAGGAACAAAAACACATTGAAATGTATAAAATTAAATAATGACAAAAAAGAAAATCCTTGTCTTGAACTAAAAAGCTCATCACATTTTTGGTACGAGATCAATTTGTTAATGAGTACAGTGCTAATACAGCTAATCCTATGGGATCTTTTGTTGTAAAACTAAACCAAAACTGTTACATTATTCAGAATGAATTTCACATAGTTTTGTCCATTGGCAAGACTGTCTTTATGAATACAAATCTAGAAATATATAGTTTGACAGCTGCAGTAACGAATGTGATCTCGTGAAATCATCTACATTGAAATAAAATTAATATAAATTCTCCATGTATACTTATTTTTCTTTTTCTGAGGATGGAATAGTTAAAGTAATTTCTGTATAACATTGAAAGAGAAGTTCTGAATCTTTGTTATAAACCCTTATTTGACATTTCTTTCAGTCAGAAAAGGAAATATTCTCTATTGTATTTTATTGGAAAGTCAGAGTTGGGCAGATATTCATTCCAAGTTTGAAGGGCCACAAATGTTTATGGAACTATTCAACCCTTCTACCAAAATGTTACTGAATGAGAGGGATGATGTAATGTTTTGTGGAGAAGGTGGGAACCAGATCTGTAGCATGAAGTCTCATAATATCTGTGGTCATGCTCATGACAACAAAAAAGAACATTCTCCTTAGTTTACCATGTACCAATTAAGACAACAGTTGTTGATTTGCTATGTGGATGCTATGATGAATGATCAGTTCCTATCTGTAAAATTCTACGAAGAAAATCACAGTACTCTTAAAATTACAATTATAACCAATTTTGACAGCTAAACTGTGGGCTACAATGATAAAAATGTGTATGTATCCTGCATACAGGGCCTAAGCTTCCATTTGACATAACACTATTTGGTACAGGAACATAGGGGAATAAAACCCAGGAAAAATAAATTTGAGTCTGAAATTCTGCTTATCCTAAATTCTGAAGGAAAACCTATGCTAATACAGAGAGAACACATCTTAATATCAAATAAAATAATGAGAACATTAAGGGGGAAGGGAAGCGTGTGTTTGTGTATAGATATATGTATGTACACACATACATAAAAGTTCCCAGTCCCCATTAGGAATCATATAGGTAATATAGTCATTTAAAAGGTAGTAATATGCATAAGGTTGTCTGGCCATGCCCAGAACAAGCAAATTCAACTATCTTTGAGAAATCTTGTGGAATCATTTCCCACTTCTGGCCAAGTTTTCCTAAAAAAGAAAGAAGGGACAGTCTCCTAGCAGGGTTTTCCTCATTTTATATGAAATCTAACTATTAAGAGGTTACCAAAAAGTGGGAGAGGAATTTGTCTATGCTGCATTTGTTGTAGCATAGAAGCAGGCTCACATTCAAAGAAAACTTACCAGTCATGTCTATTCTGAGCATAAGGTGCACTAAGGGCGATATGCCCACTCTGGCCAATGGGATACTTTTGTATGCCTTTGCAGGTAAACCATACAACCTATATTAGATAATATGTCAAGGTCTTTCTTTAAAAAATGCCTGACACTGCATTCTGTAAGAACAGCTGGAATTTGTAGATAAGCCTGACTGAGGTTAGGCTGCCCATACCAGTGCACACAGCGTAGAGATCTACAGCTGAGCAACTGGCTTATTGTATCTTGGTGATAAATAAATATGTGGAGCTGGCTGGTGACAAAACAAGGTTTTCCCTTCTCCCTGGTCTCATTGCCTAAAATATATTATAGCTATTAGCAGGATAAGTAATACCAGAATGTGAGGAAGTAAATCAGCTGATAGCCCCAAGTGATATAGACATTTGACAGACTCCTAAAACTTCCTCCTCAGTTGCCAGTGCTCCAAAGCAGGCTTTCCAATGTACAGATAATATTCATGTATAGGAACCCAGTCCAAACTTTTAAGGCTTTATTTCCAACATACGGATAGTAATGTTCACCAAACTGTTCTTGAAAATCAGTCAAAGAGACACAGTAAGAAATGTCCTTCTTCCATTTCAATACTAAGTTAGGGAAGTCAATTCATATAAGGAACCTTTACCTGTGGATACAATGAAATAATCATAGAATCGTTTAGGTTGGAAGAGACCTTTAAGATCATTGAGTCGAACCATTAACCTAGCACTGCCAAATCCACCACTAAACCACGTCCCTGAACACCACATCTACACATCTTTTAAATACCTCCAGGGATGGGGACTCAATTACTTCCCTGAGCAGCCTGTTCCAAGGCTTGACAACCCTTTCTGTAAAGAAATTTTTCCCAATACCCAATCCAAAACTCCCCTGGTGCAGCTTGAGGCCATTTCCTCTCATCCGATCACCTGTTACTTGGGAGAAGAGACTGACACCCACCTCACTACAATCTCCTTTCAGGTAGTTGTGGACAGCAGTAAGGACTCCCCAAGCCTCCTTTTCTCCAGGCTAAACAACCCCAGTTCCCTCAGCCACTCCTCATAAGGCCTGTGCTCCAGACCCTTCACCAGCTTCGTTGCCCGCCTCTGAACACGCTCCAGCACCTCAATGTCCTTCTTGTATTGAGGGGCCCAAAACTGGACACAGTATTCCAGGTGCGGCCTCACCAGTGCCGAGTACAGGGGGACGATCACCTCCCTGCTCCTGCTGGCCACACTATTCCTGATACAAGCCAGGATGCTGTTGGCCTTCTTGGCCACCTGCGCACACTGCTGGCTCATATTCAGCCAGCTGTCGACCAGAACCTCCAGGTCCTTTTCCGCCAGGCAGCTTTCCAACCACTCTTCCCCAAGCTTGTAGTGTTGCATGGGGTTGTTGTGACCCAAGTGCAGGACCTGGCACTTGGCCTTGCTTGAACCTCATAATACTGGCCTCAGCCCATTGATCCAACCTGTCCAGATCCCTCTGTAGGGCCATCCTACCCTCAAGCAGATCAACACTCCCACCCAACTTGGTGTTATCTGCAAACTTACTGAGAGTGCACTTGATCACCTCGTCCAGATCATTGGTAAAGATATTAAACAGAATGGGCCCCACTACTAAACTGTGGGAAACACCACTTATGACCGGCCACCAGCTGGCTTTAACTCCATTCACCACCACTCTTTGGGCCCAGCCATCCA